GGTGATAAATTGGTCTTTTTTTTTAATTTTATTTAAATTGTAAGATTTTCCTTAAATTTATTCAAAGATATAAATATTAAGTAAAAAAAATATTAAAGCGATTATGTAAATAGGTTCATACTTTAAGAAATTTAATAAAGTACAATTTTTTTTATCAGATCTAGATCTGGATCCGGATCTTTCTTATTCAGATCCGGATCCAGACTTGGATTCAATCTGTTTTTTCAGATCGGATCTGGATCTTTAAAAAGATCCATCCGATTCGATCCATGCAGAACACTAGTAGTTTTACCAACAAACTTAGTACAGACCCTAACCCTAATCTAAATGAACTTAAAGAATCTTCTGATAGTTATGTGACTGTGGCATTTTGGTGGTAATACTGGAAAAGATTTTTGGTAGTTATTCTGATTGATTGTACAAAAATTTCTATAAAGAATTTTTTACAATAGTAAAAATTTTTTTTACCTATTTTTAGTGGGCAAATTTGCCTGCGAAAATTTAAAGTTTAAGAGATACTGAGTATTTATTTATTTATTTATAGGATATAATAGTGATTGTATTATCATTTATGGAGAAGATTATAATTTTTGACCAGTAATTCACGATCTTTCTGTGTTAGATATATGCAATAAACCATATCAATAGTTTACGTTCAATTCATACTGCTAATGTAGTCAGAAGATATATGATTGTTACTTATGGTATATAAGATAGCATTTATTATTATTTTTTTCTCATTTACATATATTTGATGTATTATTTGTAGGTTTCATCTTTTTACAAGAGTATATAAATACTGATACAGTACACCCTCCCAAAACTGATCCTGTCAAAACCAATAACCTGTTATAACTGATATAAAATTGATCTACCATGTCTGTTTCATAATTAAAACCCAATAACCTGCCATTTCTGATAACCAATACCCAAAAGATCAGATATCTATAAGATATCAGTTTTGACAGATAATACAAATCGATTTGATTGGCTCAGATCGGGGTTGTGTAACAGATTATATACAATCTAGCTAATTGTATTTATTTGTGATAATATGATAGCAGGCTATTAGTATTTTAAATTCGATAATCTTTCAAATCTGATACAAAGGTATCTACCAAGAGTATCAGATTTGAGAGGGTGTACTGTATATTTATTCTTGATATTGGTGACGATTCTAAATATAAATAGGTTATATCATTCAATCCTAACCCTCCTAACCAATCATCTACTCAAAATCCTATCCAAAATCCATTCAAAATAGAGATAGTATTAGTTCTAATACACTGATTGGGGTTATAATCAGAACATTCCTAGTTAGTATCTTGCTTGCAATTTTTGTATTGATTGTTTATCGGTAGTATAGTTTCTCAATAATATGCTACTAAATGTTGGTTTATTGTTAATTATTTACAAATTGTTAGTACTGTATATATGTAATAAGCTAGAAAATCTATAGTTAAATGTTTTATTGATTAAAACCCACATGATAATATCTTGTTTGTTTTAGATAATAGATTAGAATGTGGCAGCTTAGTAAAGTGGTCTAGTTGTCACCCCTCCAAGTGGCAGGTTTAGAGTTTAAATCCTACAGATGACGGTTTTGAAAATTAAGCCTGTGTTCAGTAACAATTATCCATCGATCAGTTGGATTTACAATCTGTAATCTTGGTTGCATCATCTCATTATGGGAGCTTCGGTGTATAAATGCCAAGAAACTAGGATGATTAAGACCCGTTTGGGAAGACCCAAGTAAGGAGTAGTGGAAACTTTTGACAATGCTACAGGAAGACCGAATTTGGAACTAGAAACTGAGACCAGAGAACTGAGTAACCAGGTCCTTAAGTGGGGGACACACTAGCCAAACCGCCAGATCGCCAACTGGAGAAAAAGGATATGTGCTCTAGAAGTATGTACCAAGGGAAGGGTGACTATAAGGTACCTAAAGCCTGGGCAGACCAACTCTTCTGAGTTGCCGGCTAGAAACAAAAAAGAGACTGGTAAAGAATCTGAGAAAGAAAGAAAGTTCAAATGTGGGTACTGGGGTAGAAATGAACCTTACAAGGGCAGGAGATATATGTAGCTTGGGTAATCAGGCTTGCTAGTATACAGGTAAAGCTGTAGCGTAGTATCTCTGAACCAAATCTGAAAATGTGTGAGATGTAGAAGGATTTAGAGAGGTATCTACTATGTCCTTCCTCGAGTAAATACCGGTTGATTAGATTCGAAGGGTTTATCCATAAAGAGGTAAAAGTCAGTGGGTGAATGCCAGCCTAGGTGGCCTTTGTGCAGTATGAGATAAGATAGTTTGAACCAAATGGAGCAGTGCAGGACTGGGGATATCAGAGAGTTTAAATGGGTAACTCCCTAGTTGGGTTATAGATACGACATCTAGTGTAGAACCTTCGGGTAGACTACTTAAATAGGCACTCAAAAGGTGCACATATGGCTTAATGTATGTACTCTCATAGATCAAGAAATGTACTGCAGCATGTAACAATATAAAATGTAATAATATTTAGCATTATTCTTAATAAAGTTCACCTGTCATGGCAATTCGGCAATATAAAAAAAAAAAAAAAAAAGATAATAGATTAATCTCTATTAATATAATCCTAAAAATGCATATCGTAATAATAAAAAATATCATAATAATTATAGTAATATTATAATAATAACGATTCGTAATAAATAAAGAATATTATAATAATAAAAATGTTCTATTGATAATGATGCAAATAAATTTAATATACAAGAGAGATTTTATTTCAATTTTTTATTCTGACTATTCTGAATCACAATTTTTAACGTTTGCTAATAAACTATCTTTAGACCTGGTGAATTAAATGGATAAGTTTTTACATTCTGAATGTCAGTATTTCTCATATCTCTCATAGTAGAATTTTTAATTAATTCAATTTTATCATCTGTATATTTTGATCATTCATACAAAATCTATTAGCACTTCTTTTTTAAAGAATTTTTCTTTTATCCTTGCATTAATTGTTAGTGCTAGAAGAATAATTTTACTACAAACTTTGTTATTTGTTACTAAATTTCATTACATGAATTCACCAGGCGACTACGAATTAGGTGATAATCAGTAGCAAATTTAGAGGAAAGTCCAAACATTCATTTTGACAAAAACCACATCTATCTCAAGAATTTATACAAAAAACCACCCTCTATGCTCTATTGAAAAATTCTTTGTCTAATTTACTATATATACTTTTTCCAAACTATAAATATAATACTAACCCTAAATTTAACAAATTTTAGTATTTTGTTAAAATATCATGTTATCTATAAAATTCATAATCACCCTGGTGTATAGTTAGATGAAACCTAAAAAGAAAATATAATAATGTATTTGATTATTATTTAGTTATAATTTCTTTTTGGGTTTTGCCAACAACTATACTCTGGTGGATTCTTGTCAGAATCTTCTATATTGCATATATTTATACAAAATCTGTTATAAAATATTGTATATAATGAATGTTGTTATAAAAATTATAATTTGCCTATTTAACCTGCTACAATATTCTATCTTTTACAAAAAAATGAAGCTTTCTTATTGCATTTGTATCTTATTGCTAAAATTTCAGCTCTCATATGTTTTAGTTAAAGTATATACTCCAATACCTCATCATTCACATAGTGCTATATTAATTGGCAATAAACTTTTTATATTAGATGGTGATGCTAATAATACTAGTGTCCAATTTGCACTCACAAAAGATGATTTCTTTTATCTCAATGTCTCTGCCATATTTAATACAACAAATATTCTATAGACAGATTTGTCTAATATTGTTGGTGCTTTTAAACAAAGCAGAGCAGCAGCATCTGCTAGTAGTCCAAACAAGAACATCATTTTTTTAGTTGGTGGAGCATTTGGGAATTCTAACTATGGTATTCCTTTAATTTATATATTTGATACTGTAAAAAATGTGTGGAATATCCCTACTATACAAGGAATACAGCCACCTACACTTATTCAGTCACTGATATTATAAGTAAAATGTATATTTTTAGTAGATTATATTATATTGAAACAGGAAATTCAACTTCTAGTTTTGATAATCGATTGGATATTTTAGACACTATTAGATTAACTTGGTCAAAAGAATCTCAGCTCCAAGCTTCTATACTGAGAGATAGATATTCTGTTACTTTACTACCAAATAGTATTATTGCCTATATAGGCAAATTCGATACTAGTAGTGGTCCTATGAATTTAAAAGAGGTGTAAAATTTAATTTAGTTATTTCTTTATTTATAAATTATTTAATTATTTATCATTATTGCTATAATTATAAGATACATTTGTATAATACAAAAAATAATGCATGAGAAACAATAGTAAACTTGTGCTAAATGTATAGGTATAAATTTTAATTTGCTAAAGCAATAATAAATAGCAAAGACAGATCATTAGCAAATCAAAATTTTTATTTCAGTATTATAGTTAACTTAGCATGCTAAAATGTTTAATAAGACTTTTTCTAGATTACTGTCAGAACCATTTCTGAGGCACATGCACATTATATGACAGTGCTTGGTAAAACTAACTATTTCTTAATCTAGTCCAATAGCTTTATTAAATATTTAATCACTTATACTGCATATTCATTTTAAGATTAAATAATGACCATCTTATCATTTATGGAGGATATCTGAATTGGCAATCCCCATTAGTACATGATTTTTTTGTATTAGATATACGAAATAAACTATATCAATAGTTTATACCAAATATTACTGGTATTTTTCTGCTTAAACTAGTTAATTATGCTGCTAATATGGTAGGACGATATATGATCATTACTTATAGTATCTCTTAAATTGTAACACAGGCAAATTTGCCTGTGTTTTTATTAAAAAGTATAATTTTTTTAATAAAAACTTATATATTAATTTTAGCTATATATTTTCTAAGTAAAATATTTAATTTTAGATTTGTT